AGGAGCGTGAAGCTCCTGAAGTAGCTGACGAAGCCAACAAGTCTCAGCAACAGCATGGGCAACAGCACGGTATTCAGCTTCCGCGCTGGAACAAGAAACTGTAGTCTGCCGTTTGAAGGACCAAGACACCAGATTGTCATCAAGAAAGACATAGTATCCAGACGTGAGACCGCCGAGAATCGGGGACAGCCCAATTTCAATCAAGATCCGAGTATCTTTGTGAGAGTGTCAAGAGACCCGATGACGAGGTGAAGACCAGAGACAAGGTGTGCCCTTGACGTGTCGCAAAATCCGCTTGAGCGGCGCGGATGAGGTTCACGCGGAGAATGCATAAAGAGACAGAACCTGGCTTTGAACGGCATAGGCAATGTCGGGACGAGTCAATGTGAGTAATCAGAAACCGCCAAATGAGACTCGGTATTGTGTTGGATCGGCAACCGGTGAGCCATCGGTGGTATGGCGCTTAAGCGCGATGCATCGATCGGGTGGTCGAGAGTGACACTCAATCATACCAGCCTACCGGAGAAGATCAATCGCATATGCCGCCGGTGATGATGAAAAAGGCCATCGCAGAACGCAGTGACAGAAATCCCGAGGAAGTGATGAAGGTCCCCGAGATCAGTAATGGCGAACTCTGAGTTAAGGCGGTCAGTAATATGTCGAAGAAGAGCAGGCGAGGATGCTGTGAGGACAATGTCGTCGACGTAAAGCAACAGGTAAGCAACACCGGTGCCCTCCTTGAACACAAAAGAGAAAATATCCGACATCGGGCGCGTGAAGCCCAAGGTCTGAATGAAGGTAGCGAATCGCCGGTGCCATGCCCGGGTGCTGCTTGAGCCCATACAAAGACTTCGTAACAAGCGGACATGGTCAAAAAGCGGTAAATGTCGATTTAATCCGTGTGGTGCTAGCGATGAAATGATCTCATTCGGATGACCATGAAGAAAGGCGTTCTTGACATCCAACTGATGAATCGGCCAGGCACGAGACGCAGCAATGCTGAGAACAACCCGAATCGTTGCTGGCTTAACAACTGGATTGAAAGTCTCTTCGTAGTCGATGCCATACTGCTAAGAAAATCCTCGAACAACCCACAAAGCTTTGTGACGAGCAAGAGAGCCATCAGAGTGATACTTATGCTTGAAAATCCACTTGCCGGAGACAACGTTGGCACGAGGAGGCCGTGGTACGAGTCGCCAAGTGCCATTGTCAACAAGTGCCTTGTATTCATCCACCATTGCGGCCCGCCAATTTGGATCGGCAAAGGGCGCCTGCGATAATTGGCGAGAAGCGGTGAGGCATGCGTGGCGGAGTAAGTCGAGCGTTCGGCGGGCGGGAGCGTTCGATCATGCTTGCCGTGTCACACGGCGCGATGGAGCAGCAGGGACCGGCTCAGGTGCGTGAGCTAGCTGAGGCGCCGGTGGAGGAGGGCGCGACACATGCTCGGGCACGATGATGATGATCGAGGATGCCGGTATCTTCGAAGAGCACCGACGGACGTGATGCGTGAGGAGGCCGGCAGACGTCTTGCTCCTGAGCAGCAGACAGACGCCGCCAGCAGAGACGCGCGCCGGCTGCCCGGTGTAGAAGCGGCAGATACTGAAGGACCGGACCGCGCGAGGATGGCGAGTCCAAAGGCTGAAGTGTCGTCGTCGTCGAAGGTCGGCCGAGTAGAGAGCCGGCCCGGAGCGCCAGCAGGAGGAGCTGGCACAAGTGCAGGAAGACGATCCTGTAATAAAAAATCAAGTGACTCCGTAGGTGGTTTGGCAACCGCAAACGGAAAGTGAGTCTCATCAAAAATCACGTGACGAGAGACGATGACTTTGCGAGTGGAGAGATCGAGACAATGATAACCCTTTTGTGAAGAGGGATACCCGATGAACACGCAAGCTGATGAGCGAGGAGCCAATTTATGAGGTGTTGTGGCACTAAGATTTGGGTAGCATAAGCAACCAAAGACTCGAAGCAAGGAGTAGTCAGGCATCTTGTGATAAAGGAGGTGATAGGGAATACAATTATTGATGGAGGAAGACGGTCGCCGATTGAGTAGAAGAACGGTGGTGGCTAAGGCTTCGGCCCAGTAGGCTAAAGGCATGGCGGCATGAATCAAGAGGGTGCGAACGATATTGTTTAGCGTGCGCAATATCCATTCAGCTTTCCCATTTTGAGCAGACGTGTAAGGGAAAGAAGTGCGAAGAAGAATGCCGCGGCTAGCAAGGAAGGTAGACGTGGCATTGTTGATGAACTCAGTGTCGTTATCCGCCTGAAAACACTGGACAGGCAGGCTGAATTGGGTGTAAGCATAATTAGTAAAATCAACAATATGTGCATGAACCTCTGATTTATGCCGAAGAGGAAACGTCCAGCAATAATGACTATAATCATCAACAAGCACAAGATAATATTTAAATCTAGACACGCTAAGAACTGGAGACGTCCAGACATCACAATGAACAAGTTGAAAAGGTGCTGAGCAGCGAGACGATGAACTAGTAAAGGGCAGCCGTGTGTGTTTGCCAAGTTGACAGGCGTGACAAATACCACGGGCTGCATTATTACAAGAGATAGTTGAAAGATTATTAAGTGTAGCTATGGCTGCAGGTGCTGGATGACCAAGACGTGAATGCCACAATGAGGAGGAGATGGCGGCGACATGACAGGCTGCAGCAGGCTGACTGGAATGTGGAAGGGTGTAGAGCTCCCTGCCACTATTGCGACGCAGAATCTCGGTCTTGGTCTGCAGATCCTTAACAGAGAAGCCAAAAGCATCAAACTCAATGGAGCAGGTATTGTCGCGAGTAAACTGACGAACAGATAACAAATTTCGAACAAGATGTGGAGTGACAAGAACATTATTGAGTTGAAAAATATGATCAGCTATAGGAAGAATGGAAGTGCCACGACTAGAAATTGGAATGGAGGACCCATTGCCGACTGTGATGAAGGACGGCGAATGAGGTAGATGGGAAAGAAGTATACCGTCGTGGGGGGACATATGAGATGTAGCTCCTGTGTCGAGGACCCAGGGGCTAGCACCTCCCTGCAGTGCCATCTGGTTGAGGGAAGCAATGAGAGCGCCCTGATCCCAGCCACCGAACGTAGAAGGCGGTGCGAAGGACGTGTGGGCCTACGGCAGAGGTGCCATTGGAGGACGCCACTACGGCTGAGGAGCCCACGGGTTCATGCAGACCCAAGGACCACGGTCGGTGGGCCCGGGGGCGGACGCCCCGCCAGAGGCCCGGGGACGCCTGGTGGTGGTCTAGTGTCGGCCGCCACCGCCGCTTTGTTGCCTCCACGCGCATACCGTGCCGCCGCCTTGCCCTTGCCCTTGCCTTGCCCCTTGCCGCCTCCCACCACGCCACCATAGCCGCCGTCGTTGGGGTTGGTGCCGGAGGACGAGGAGCGGCGGCAGGAAGGGTGGTGCAGTCGTGGTCGTCCAAGTCGTGGACGGGCGACGGCAATAAGGGCGGTGTCGGAGGAGACCTTAAGGCGTCGTTGGCGGCGGATCTCCTTGAGCCGAAGGGTGTTGTGTGCGAGATGAACGACGGAAGGACCGCCGCATTGGCGATGATGTCCGCCGTGTTGGCGAAGCGCCATTGAGGCCGCAAAGAAGGTTTGAGGACCAGGTTTGGGGCTCGGAGACGGTGTGGCCAACGCCGCGAGAGAGAAGCGTCGGCCGTGTGCTTCATCTTGCGCCGGGCGAGGGCGTCGATGGACAAGTCATCTCGGTCATAGAGTGGAACTTTGACCTAGGGACGACGCGCGTGTCTCTGGTTTGCTCAAAGCAGTTGGTAATGGCAACAAAGAGATCACGGGCGATCGCTTTCGGTTCCATGGCGAGGTCGAGGACGCCGTCGTCGATGCGACCATACATCCAACTCCGGACACAAGCATCCGGCCGTGACCATGTGCGATCGATGGGACGTCGCCGGATGGAGCCGTCGATGTGGCCAAGTAGGCGAACTTGCCGCACATATAGCGGTGAAGAAGGCAGACCACTTGGTGTAGTTCGGCAGCTTGAGATCAAGGGTGATCGGCACGTGCTGGCGCACGTTGATGGTCGCGTAGGAGAAGATCACAGGAGCAAGGGCGTCTGTCATGGCCGGCATGGATGGTGATCCAGAGATCCCGGAGGTCGCGGTCGAGGAGGATCCATTGGTGGCCATAACAGGGGGGCGCCGAGAGAGGTGGTAGGGGGGGCGGCGCCGGGAGAGGTAGGGCTAGGGCAGCGGAAGAGAGGAACCCTAATTGGCCCGGTCTATGATACCACGTAGAGAGATAATGCACCGCACACCCAGTTAGGGGGGTGGCCTTTCATATATATAGCCGAGAAGGCTTGGAGTACAAGTATATATGAAAGTACAATACAAGTCAAGCTATACATATCTATTTATATCTCTAATACAGTGAATACATATAAAATCATTGTTTGCTCCATTAAAGAATACAACTTCGAATAATCTCAATAATGACCGAGTATCCGAGAATCTAAGGGTGGTTTACATCGGACAAGCATTCATGGTAAACAGATTTCAAGAACAAAGGAATATGATGACCCAGCTACATCTTATAATAAGTTGCTCACCCTTGTCATTTGGTAACATGATAATCAGCCACAACTATTTCAGAAAAATATTGAGGAACCACGATGAAATGGGAATAAAGAACATTATGATGCCATTACAAATGAATGTGCTTCTTACTTTTGACTTCCTTGCAGGTGATGCAGCTGTAGCCTCATGCTTATTGACACCACTTGCAATAACTGATCAAGAAAAAAAAACTAAGGATCATAATTTGCAACACAATAGTATAGATGAGGCACCTATATCACTCAATAAGGTAGCAATTCTTACAGAATTGGGTATGGTCACAAGAATGAAAAGAATGGGCACGAGGGCAACGGAAGAAGCAAGCCTTGAAGTTAAAACTGCTTGATCCCGTCAAAAAATTTCATGCCAACTACAATTGGTTAGTACAACAGCCTGTATTTACGCTGGTCAGTGCCATTGCTTTGCAATCTCCTCATCGAGGATTTGGCAAGCCTGCTGCCTAGAACTGTCGTCCAGAGTTCTATTGCTCATCAGTAAACTGCGTAGTGCTCGCAGTTCATCACAATTAGCCCGCTGGAAGAGCCCCCTCAGTGCAATAAGCAATGGATCCTGAGGTGGCATATTCTGATTGTCTCGATTCTCAATTGTAACATGGGACCTTGATCGCCAGTACTCTGTACAGACGTGATCTCTGTCCCGAGCCTCAATTGCCTGACGTTAAATTCCAAAAAATGTCAATTAGAACCATAAAAGAGCATTTCCATCATGTGTAACAGTAACAGTGTGTTGCATAGAATAATGTCAAGTGAATGCCAAGCATTAATGCCACACCTGAACTATTGCTGGTGTTAACAACCCAAACATTTCATGACCATCAACTGATCCTGGAGGCTGTAGTGTAGGAAGATTAGCTCTTCCCATATTGAGCTGCCTCCTTATTTCCATATTAAGCCTTTCACGAACCATGTTCCAGCACTTGGTAGGAGAGATGTTTATGAAAAAATCGCCAGGACAGTTTTCTACAGTCACCTGTAAAGGCAATAAAATATCAAGATACTGAAGAATGGATATAAATATATGGAAGGCACAAAAAACGAAAAAATTTTACCATAAAAAGAGGTCCCTGCTGTCCAGCGTCCAATATTTCAGATATGTAGTATGTCATTTGTACTGGATCTACAACACTGAAGTATTTTACTCTGCTCTTAAACCCTGCATTTGCAAAGTGAAAACATGCTAGAAGAACATAGCAAAATATGAAACAAACTGCAGATGAAATTCAAATCTCTGAATGAAGGTATTCAGATAAGTAGATAACAATAAGGAAACATTCCAATAGTATGGTAAAATCCAGAAGTGTTCACCCTGATATCATAAATGCTCAAGATGTCTAGAGAGAGGTATATCAATCTGCCAAAACAAACCTTTTGGGAAGATTGCTTGACTTGAGGACCACAACTTCCCAGATAGTACAACACCAATTTCTATAGGTTCAACAGAGCACTTGAATCTATGTACAACGTTAGCTATGCGAGGACCCTTCTGTGCAACTCCATTTCTGCTGTGATTTTCCAGAGCAGGCTGCACTACCATAGCTGAATGGCCCCTAGCTCTAACTTCCACACTGGATAGAGAATCAGATTGTCTTTGATGCCATCTCTCATTTAGTTGCTGATTACCAACAGTTGGATGCCCAAGGTGGGCACTGCCTGAACCAAAAACACCATATGCGTTTTTCACAACTTGAGGATCTATGAGTTGCTTTGGAGCAGTGACACTACACAATGGTTCCTGAGACACATTTTGTGTTCTTGAAGTAGTATTGACAAACTGCTGGCTTGCAGTACGGGCCTGATTGCTACCTTTCTCAGTCATCACTGAGGTATTAGTTTCCAGTGTTAAGAATGTTTGATCCTTGTAAGAATGACATAGAGTTGCATTGAAGTCTGATGATGCCATCAACCTATGAGAATTGTCTAAGTTTTCCAGATCTGGCTTCATGTTAGCTCCATTATCAATCATTGACACTGGCCTGTTATGATACTCCCGAAGTGTAAGTGAAGATGTACAGTCTCCAGTTCGGGAAGAGGTTTCTCTACTCTCTTTAGATACTGCCAAGACATGCGCACTTCTCGTGGATTCACCTGAAGTAATTAAGGGTCTTATCACAGCATGTGCAGGAAATGATTGACCAGAAGGAACCATCAAGCTTGGTGCTGCAACTTTGTGGCCTCCAATCCCTCCATTATGTTGTCGGCTGGTACCATTGCTGGTCGGACATGATAATTCATTCTTCACACATGGCTCCTTTAGCTGTGAGACATTTTCTGATTTTATCTGCTTTGTCAAAGGACACGCACTATTTGCCTCCGGACTTATTTTAAGTAAATTCGTACCTGGACAACCTAAATCCAGTGTCTTATTTTCATTGCTTTTCTGTTCAGTGCTAACAGAAGAAGGAACCAACGATACTGTTGATGCCTGTGACATGTAGGACCGTCTTGGGCCATCAGTTAATCTGCGAACAGTCTTGGAATCTTGGACCTTTTCCCGTTTGACACACAAGCTCAAACTTAATCCAAGATCAGAGACACCCCATCTGTGAATGGCACTTAGCTTTCCCCCTAAAGCATCAGCTAAGATATTCAACTCATTGACATCATAACGAAATAGGAAAAACCTTTTGTTCCAATCACATGAGCAAAGCTGCTTTGCATGTACCAGGCAAGCATATTTCTCTGGGGAGCATGGACAGCCAGAAGCTGAAAGATGCAGATCATAGTAGCACAATGCACATTCCCTATCAGTAGAATCAAATTCGGCATCCATTTTCCTAGATTGACATGGAGAGGATACATTTTGTCTTTGTGCCAACTCCATTTCAATTCGTGCCTAAGTAGAGTAATTTAAAAAATATTAGATTCCACTGAAATTGAAACAACTGACACTAATTACGTAGTTATATATTGTGGCTAGCATTTACCTTCAGTGACTTGCATATTGTGCTATCAGGTCCACATATGCTTTTCCACCTCAAGTTATCAGCAGAATTCCTCTTGAGAAATAGGATGTCCCACTGAGCTCTTATTGCTTCTCTTGCAGCCCCAAGCAACAGCTTATCATGGGAGATAGTTATTTTCCGAGCTTGTTCACGATAAAGCTCAACAGCATTTTGTCCAACTGGCAACCAATCAATGGGTGCCACATTAACAGCTTCTGCACAATTGAAGCCACAATTAAAACCAGCATGGTATGCCCGTGGGAATGTCAGGACAAACTCTCCCTCATGCTGAACACAACGGTAGACTGGTACTCCTTCAGATTTAAGCAATGATGGTGAAAACTGAGTAACCTGCAGAAGGAATTAGCATTTTCATTTAGGAGTATATCTGATTGTAACTTGCATATACGAGGGAAGAATATTGTTTTAAATGCCGTGCAAAAACATAATCACAGAATAGCCACATAAGCATAATCCATAGTTAACCATTATCTGGGGAAGCTTATATACCTGAAACTATTGTTTGAGACAAAAATCACCAACCAAGAGAAAACTTACTAGATTGTGAAGCAAATCAGGTTGCTCCTCAAACAACTCAGGAAGATGTTTCCTCATTGCAGCCTCCAAATTCACAGCATCCTTTCCTGGAACTCCATACCACACCTTTGGAGCACCCCAATGCATGTAGTTCAGTGAGTACAAATGATGATCTTCAACATGCTGTCAACAGGCACAATTCAATCAGTGAAATATTTCAGGATGGATACCATAAGTCCATAACAAAGCTTCCATAATCAATAGCATCAATCACAAACTATGAAACTAAAGAGAATATCACAAGCATCTTACCCAGCAGAAAGATGAAAACACATGCCGACATAAAGCCAAGGCACTAAAACACCAGAAATGTCGCCGCCTTCAAAAAGAAAGAACTGAACCTTGTAGTCTAGGCAAGTTATTTAGATTCCACCCAGATTGTGCATATTTATCCTCCACATCAGATTTCATTTCAGGACATAACTTTGGAAACCCGCTGCCAAAAGTTCCAGTCTCCAAATCGGCACCATATATTACCTATATGAGAATGGATTTTCTGACCAGTTAGAAAGTAGCATAACTATTTCTGTATATGTAAACACAGACGCTACCAAGTAAGATATCACATGCAAGTGCTATGACTATTTAGAACTACAAGCATGTCAGGAATCATATACAGCAGTAACAGCTGAACTGCAAACTAAACAAGAAATTCTCTAACAGGGCCATTATTGGAAAATGTCAAAAATCCAGGACTAACACAATTGCATTTTCAGAAGTTTAAATGCAATGGGCATAGATACTGTTTGCTAAGTTTTTTTGATACCTCTATCTCTTCTGTCGGCCTTTCAACTATGCGCCAATACTCGCCTTCAATATCTTCCACTGACGGTGGTGAATCTCTGCATTTATCTTTCATAAAATACTGATCACTGAAGTCATCTGCATACTTCTGAAACATCTGTAGCGTGAACTCTGGTCCTGGTTCAAATCCAAATTTCTCTTGGTTTTGCTGCATTCCAATTTGATTGTGATTGATTTCTTCAGTCTCTGAAATCTTTCTACGCTTCTTCATCATTCCACCTCTTCTGCTCTTCTTGGACGATTTACGATTTTGGAGCTTGTCAACCTTCTGTACCCGAGTAGAAAATTTTGAGCATTCCCAAATGTTTTTCTCTTTAAGAAGGCATGGAGGCTTCCATGAAGCTGGTGGAACAATACGGCATATTCCATATGGTTCTGCCGTTGGGCGGATACTCTCAATGTATTTTAAGGTGTCCTGGAATTCCTGATCCATAAGAAGATATCATAAGATTAGTGTGTGCAAAAACAAATTCAGTGCAGTGAAAGTACTGATAGCAACAAACCTCCTCGGTAGGATAGTAAACAGGAGCCTCATCAAGAACAGGCCTACGTGCACCAGATGGATTCCATCTTGCAATAACCTGCATGATGTGACGTGATATAAGCAACAAAACACCTTTGTGGAGGCTATCCATCAATTTTCAGAATTACACAAACCTTTTGACAATTGGCACAGTCTGGACATCCTCGAAGTACTCCTTTAGGGAATTGTTGTCTATGTTTCACTGAACTTACACCCTATCCATAGAGTTGAGCAATATTGTACGAGGCATTAACATCATGATAAAATTCAGGTAACTGGTGAAGAAATAAGGATGAAATAGTACAGTAAGTGCAACCTTGTCTGCTACTTCAGCATCAGAATCTTCACCTGCAATCTGATCAAAGCGGCTATAATCTATTGGAGGTCTATTATACAGTGATTTCTTACAGGTATTGCTCCTAGAAATACTGCAACCTGTGTCACTCTGGCGATCCACTGAACTGGATAGACATTCCAAAATTTCCACATCGTCGGGCGATGCTCTGTAATGCTAAATCAGAACTAGAATGAGCATCAGCAGGTTTAACATCGTTTTGGATTCCCCATGATGCCGGGAAGCGAAGGTCCAAATCCAGGCGGAATTGAGGGTTCAGGGTCCTCGATGACTGTGGCTGCAATGCCTTCTGTTCCCATCATTGCTAAAAAACAAACGAAAGGGACTTTGATCAGCACAGCACGAAATGCATTATATCTAAGCTGAATAGAACTGACCATACAAAAATGTGCTACAACTACATATACTGATTCAAGCAACTTGCTGCAATAAATACCATAAGATTAAAAGAACAAGCCCACACAGCAACAAAAGAGCACGGTCATGATCAAACAACCTAGTTCAACATCATGAAAACAGATCTGAAACAAAAGGAGAAAAGGAACTAAAGAACAGTTGCAAATCACTTAGTCCCCATCCCAAAATGTTTTGCTATATATTGCACTACATGTCTTGTAATCTATACTACTCCCTCAAAAGTATATGCTTAACAGCGTAACTATAGTATAATAACTAGATCCACCAGCATCATAAGTTCCAGAACATCTCCACAGTAAATCCAGAAGAGCACCAATCAAGCATCATTCAAGGATGTAACACAACCAATCAATTTTAACTCCACACCAACATACTAGCTTCTAGATCATCTACAGGCAAATCCAGGAAACCACCAACCAAGCATCACCACAAGGGATCAGAATGCAACTAATCAAATCGCTCAGAGAAGAAGCAATCAAGCAGCGCAGCTGCCTCCCGGATGATCCAGCAGTGGATCTAGGGTTCGTTGGCCGTACTACGCGGTGCTGGTGATGCCTAGTGACGATCGAGCCGTTCGGAGGAGGGGACGGGCGGTGGAGGAGGTACCTGAGAGAGCATGGAGGCGCAAGCGCAAGGCGGCGGCGGGAAGCAACCGGTGACGACGGATGAGGACGAGGCTCGAGGGAGTCGGCTGTATCGAGGACTCCGGGTTAGCTCGCGAACCGGTCGGGAGTCGGGAGTGACTCGGCACGATACTACTATACAGTGAACATTTTGTTTTTTCTCAAACTAGATATATGTCCTTGCACCAAACTATCTTAAATTTAACTAAATTTATTTAAAAGATATTAATGCTTATCATATTAAATAAGTAACTGAATTGTATTATTTATTTTAAAGATGGATGAAGTACGTATATTTACTAACGATCTAGCTTTTAATTTATGAGTGTATAACGACAAACTTTTAGTCACATCTATGACGAAAGATTTTATCATTTGGCCTTGTCCCTGCCTTGCTCAAGATTCATACTTGAGAAATGAATGACTCGAGCAGTGGCGGAGCATAGGGTGTATTTGGTTCGCTTCTTCGCCGAGTCTGGCTAGCAAAACTAAGCCTGGGCAATTTTAGCCTGGCTTGTGCAATACAAGATGCACTTGTTTGGTTGCATTCTCTGCCTAAGCCTAGGTTAAAAATCGTATGTTTAGTTGGTTGCTTTTCTTTGCATACAATCACCGTATCTTTCAGCTGGTATGGTTACCCATTTTGTCAAACACTTGGTAGGCATGTTATCGGCGGTGCCCCTGCCCGTGCAGCTGTAGGACGCGAGGAGCTGGCTGAGGACGCGAGGCGGGTTGCGAGGTCGGAGGCGAGGTGGGCGACGAGGTCCTCCTCCGTGTCGTGCTCCACCTCCGTTTCCCCAACGACGTCGTGCTCCGCCTCGGCCTCCCCCTCGACGGAGCCAACGGTCCTCAGCGCCGCCGCGTTCGTTCTCTTCTCCGGTGGGTCTGCGGTGGAGGACGATGCTGCAGTGCGCGCGAGCGCGGGGGTCGTGACTACGAGCCCACCATGGAGGCATGCGGGCCCGCCGCCGCCACATGGCACGAGACCACCATGGAGGAGCGCCGGCGCACGAGCTTGGTGGAGGTGGAGCGTCGGCGCACGAGCTTGGTGGAGGTGGAGCGCCGACGCATGAGCATGGAGGACCGCCGGATTCTGGCGATTCGGGCACCGGCGGCGGGCATGAGGAGGTGGAGGGAGGTAAGACGAGTGAGCCAGCGGCGGCACTAGCAGCACCGAGGGAGGTGAGACGATTCCTTCCTCAGCCTAGCGCAAGGCAGGCAGCAGAACGAGCGATCCCTCCGTTTCCGATAAGCCAGGCTAAGGAACACCTTTTTGCATTAGCTAAGTCTGGCTAGGGACCCTGAACAGGCAACCAAACAAGCGAAAGCTGCATCTGGGAAGCCTGGCTAGGGGCTAAACCACCCAACCAACACGCCCTTAGTAGAGCGAAGCTAGGCTTCGCCTTGCTCAGCGCTGTGACAACAGATGCTCCTGTCAATTGCCAGCTTGAAGATAAGACACATGACGAGACCAAATTCAGAATTCAAACATCTTTAAAAAAACAATCAGGACATGCACAATTGATCAAGGCATGATGGGATGATTGATCAAATAATAATGTTCTTATCCTTCGTGTTATTCGTGTAAGATAGTACTACAACCGTCAGGGGCGTATCTAAAGGGGGGCTGGGGGGCTCCAGCCCCCCTACAGCTGGTGCATCAATGAAAATATAGGGAGGGTGAGGGAGAAGAAGAGGTGGAGGAAAAAAGAAAAATAGAGAGAGAGGAAGAAGAAGAGACCAGCTCCTCTTCAATCATGTTCTGCATCCGACACTGACAACCGTTCAAAACGAACTACGCCAACATGGAAGGAAAAGTAACTCTTTAGACCACCGCACACTACAGGCATTGATCACACCATCGCGACACTACCAAACTTGACGTCGGTCAATTAGTTCATCTTTCTGCAATTCACCCTGACCCGCCCTTTAGACCAGTGACGAATGTCCGAATTTTTTACAATTTGGCCCTTTTTTGAAAGTTTCTCATAAATAGACCCCTGGCGGAAAGAATTCAGGAAATTGACCCTTAGCTCGGCGCCATTGATGCTGGCACCGAGCTAGGCGCCAGCGTCTCTGGTGCCGAGCTCCTGGGCACAGTCGATGACCTGCCAGGGGGCTCGGTGCCAGAGTGACTGGCGCTGAGCTCGGCGCCGTAGTGACTGGCGCCGAGCTCCCTGCATTTAACCCCGGCCCAACCTTCCTGCCCGAGCGTTCTTCCTCTTCTTTCTCCTCCCTCTCGGGTTTTTCTCTCCTCACTTCATCCTACCTCACGAATCATCATATTGGACCTTGAAAACCTTGATTTGATCCGTAGATCTTCGAGAGCAAGGTATCCTCGCTCCCCTCCTTGTTTTTTTTATCGATTCGGTATATATTAGTCGGATTTTTGAACCTAAGACTCGTCATCACTTAGGGTTTCATTGTATCCCTCAATATATGTATTATACAACCGTAGGTTGATTCAAAGGCGTGGAAAAAGCTAGCAAATCTAGGCGCATGTAGTTATGTTATGGGTTCATTGTTGTGGATCAAATGGGAAACCCTAGGTTTAGGGTTTAATGTTAACTGCTTTCGGTTCTTAGAACGAAATTGGTTGTATTGTAGTTATGGTTCTCATTGATATTTATTTGTGATGTTTTGATTTATGTTTGTTAAATTACATCCGTTTTGTTAGATGCAAGAAATGTTTCGGGAGAAGTTTTAGCGAAAACAGGGTCGTCCTTGAGAATTATACACCGACGCGTCTAGCAAAGATGCCCCCATCCCTCCTGACCTTCCTATCCCTAATTGTGACTGTGGTTTCCCGGCCCATGTTTTTCAATCGAAACATCTGGACACAACAGCGTGTTGCTTCTACACATGTAGTCGGTTTAATGTAAGAAATTGTTTGCACTATCCTTTTTCTTTATTTGTGTAAGTATGCTACTAATATTTTGTTAGAATCTCGTTGTGTAGGACCACGAGAGGTGCTTTTTCTTTTAGTGGATCGATGGTGCAGACAAGTTTGATCCTAGGTACCTCTTTTTCGACGATTGGTTTAGAGGGAGACATCCACGTGAGCACTTCAAGCGGTGGGTTCCACCTCCCCCCTAACCCTCCGCCAATGACGGTTAAGGAGAAGTACCTAGCCATAGTTAGACGACTCGAGGAACCTCCTCTATGTGATTGCGGAGATCGAGCTGTGATAAACCCTAAGAATACGTTGGAGTTTGTGTGTCCAAACAAGCATGAAGTGCAAAGTGTATGTGTTGAAATCTTGAGCTATATGTGTTCATGCACTAATGTCTCATTATTTAGGTGTTTTCAATGGCGAAGTGTCATTTTAAGGAGTGGTTGTATGGTCCTAAGAACCAATGGCCGGAAGAACCACGGAGGGTTAAGGAAAAGAAGAAAGAAAGGGTAATCTACAAAGCACCTCCTGTCATGTGCGAATGTGCTGTAAAATCCAACTATGGCCTAGTCCCTTCGGAGCTTGGAATAGGCCATTATTGCGGCCATATGATTGAGTATGATGAGGTTCGTTATTTTCCTGGTAAACATGAAATCGTATTTTGTTTGTTTTGCTAAGACATATATGATATAATATTTCTTTTGAACAGAGCACTAGGAAATACAGTTGGGAATGTTATGATGGTCAAGCTAAGTTCTTGGATGAACTGAAGAAGAGGCAACTAATTGCACGGAAGAGAGGATATGGACCTGACTACGTCAACCTATTCATTAAACATCACAAAGAAAAGATGCGTGAGTTTGCTAGACAGCGCGGTATTTGTAACCCGATCGATGTTGGGCTTAATAAATGGGGATTGGAGAGGCGGATGACATTAGAGGAGGAGAGGGCAAGGAATGAGGCAAGGGAGGAGACAAGAGTACAGATGCAGGTCTTGAACGAGCATGTTGCTACATTATGTGCCAGTGAGTGCTTGAAAACCTTTTTTTCGTTGCATGGTTTTAAATGTAATATAATCACGTTGCTAACTGATTGCATTTTATACATAAAGGGATTGGTTGCAGCAGGGAACATGCCGTAGAGGTGGCTCGTGCAAGGTATGAGGAGAAGAAGTTAGATGACCATAGATCGCGAGCTAGTCGCACCGTTCAATCACCGATTGTGTTGTCTGATTAGGGAGACGAGGATGAGGATGGCACTGCCAGACTGAGTGAGCTCATTGCTCTAGCAGAGGCGGGCATACAGACGCAGGAGGCTGAGGACGACACTAGCAGACTTAGTGAGCTCATCGCTCTGGCAGAGGCGGGCATGCAGGCGCAGGAGGCTGAGGACGACACTGGCAGACTGAGCGAGCTCATCGCTCTAGCAGAGGCGGACTTACAGGCGGAGGAGGATGACGACGCGTTCTTCACTCAGGTCGTAGCGGCCGCAGATGAAGCGGAGGCCGCTTACTACAAGCGACAGGCAGGTCAGAGCAACACAGTTGAGCCTAGCCACAGCAACAGGGTTGTAGTAGAGGACTGGTACTCGGATGATGAGTTGCTTACTTAGTACGTTTCAGACTGAGGATTTGGAAGTGCATTTGCCCCTATGTCTACTATCGGCACGTAGTTGTAGTATTAATATGTTGTGTAATGTGGCATAGTATTGAACTTTTTATTATGTGGTTGTTTTCATTATCTATGGTCTTAATATTCCGCTTAATGATACGGACGTATTAAAATGTGAACACATGCTGCAAAAAAAACTAACGACGTACGACATTATATAAATCAACACACAAAACACATCAAATGGCATGTGACTACATGTACCAAACCTCAGAGTTTCCTTCGACTAAACCTAGCATGCCTTAGGTAATTAAACCATGCCTTAGGTAATTAAACCTAACATGTCTTAGGTAATTAAACCTGGGTACATGTGAAAAAGATAAAGTCATCCTAGTAGTGTGGCCATATAGCAAATTATGTTGCACCTTCTCCATAGTAGCCTCCCGTTGTTGTTGTTGGTGGTGGCATGGGTGACGGGGGAGGCCCCTTGTT